TCATATCATGCATATGTCTAAAACTAAGTTCCACAAAGTGGCGGATCCATTGATTTTAAATCACGCGCATAGTTACATGTAAATCCCACAAAATGACTCGTCGGTCGGAAAGAAATGAACGTGAAGGTCCATCCTCTAATGCAACGCCTACTATTAAAAGAGATAATGATGTAAAAGTCATTTATTTGATTTCTTGTTATTTCAAATGATAAAAATATACATGAATAATTCTTTAAAAAACAAACAAAAGTATATGTTCTTATACTTGGAATTAATGAAAAGAATTATATTTCAGAACTGTATGACTATAAATATAGAAATAAGACAAAATGAATAGAAAATTAATTATAAGTGAGCTGATAATGCAATATATGTTTGCAGTTCACCATATATGACTAACAAAAATAATACAGGAATAAATGTGAAAGTTAATAAGAACACATAAATAGATGTTGGTTCTGTGGTTTGACAATATAAGAACTCTCTATACACTGCACACTAAAGAGTTCTGATTCTATGGTATTTTTCTGCAGTTAGAGTGATCTGCCCTTATATCTAAAGTCCAAAAAATAAAAATATACAGTCTGTTACTCAATTTGTAATCAATTCAAGTATTCTTAACATTTTAAAAGGCCAAGATATAAATTATGCAGCTAGGTTAAGGACTCCCATATATTCGTCAGCCTATGCAGAGGTTCGGTAAAGCTATTATGACGTCACGTTAAAACAATACAAATGAATCTCGATGAATAAATACTATATGTACTTTTTAAAACACACTAAATACTTTCGATCATAAATATTATAAAGATAAATGGATGTGCAACTTATCTTGCCATAATAGCACTAAGCGTATGTAGAATGAAAGCCAGCTTGATCTCGCTGTACTTACTGAGATGACGTCATTTCTTAGTTTGACACGCAGTTTCTCTGTACTTGAGGCGTGGATCAAGCTTTTATCGTGGCTTGTAAAAATAAAAATAAATACGAAACACGCGTAGTAGGACCAAAAGAGAGACATATTCTGCAATATATTAATTCACATTTTATTGTCAAACTAAATTGATAATGTGTAGACTTTTTATAAAGCCGTAGGGAGCACATTTGTGCAGTAACGTGCTAGAATGACATCACAGGTCCAGCCCCTCAAAAATATCAAAAATTCAATGATATCCACTTCACTATAAATTCTGAATTTTTAAACACGTGTAGCTATTATTCCAACTATTCTGAAAAGTGTTGGGAGCTGGCTGTGCATTGTTGATTTATTTCGTAAAGTAACATTATTCCAATGCGAATTACATTTTTGACTGGAGTTTATAGAAAGACGGCTAAATTTTAAACAATTCCCGAGCATGAGGAAGTTGCTCCCAGCTCTTTTCGTGTTAAGGAATTTTTATGCCCTCGGATCGAAAGATCCCGGGGTATATTGTTTTTGTCCTGTCTGTCTGTTTGTCTGTTTGTCCATTTGTCTGTTTGTCTGTTTATCTGTCTGTCTGTTGTCAACTTTATCCTTGCCCATAACCTTTGACTGGTTGGAGCTATGACTTTCATATTTTCCTTGTGTATTCCTTGTGACAAGACCTTTCTTTGGGTACCATCATATTTGACCTTTTGACCTTGGAGTTTGACCCACTTTTGCAAAATTTCATGAGACTTTAACCTTGGCCATAACTTCTGAACAGTTGGTGCTTGGGGTTTCAAACTTCACATGTGTATTCTTTGTGAAAAGGTCTTCCTTTGGATACCAACAACTTTGACCTTTTGACCTCGACCTTGGAGTTTGACCTACTTTTGAAAAACTTTAACCTTGGCCATAACTTTTGAACAGTTGCTGCTTGGGCTTCAAACTTCACATGTGTATTCCTTGTGGCAAGACCTTCCTCTGAATATCAACCTCTTTGACCTTGATCTAGGAGTTTGACCTACTTTTTAAAAACTTTAACCTTGGCCATAGCTTTTGAATGGTTGGAGCTAGGGCTTTCATACTTCACTACCGTAATCTTTGTGACATCACCTTCCTTTGGATACCAACCACTTTGACCCTTTGACCTTGACATAGAAGTTTGACCTACTTTGAAAAACTTTAACCTTGGTCATAACTTTTGAATGGTTGGTGCTAGGGCTTTCATACTTCACATATGTAATCCTTGTGACAAGACCTTCCTTTGGATACCAACCACTTTGACCTTGAACTTGACGTTTTACTTACTTTTAAAACAACTTTAACCTTCGCCATAACTTTTGAACAGTTGCAGCTAGGTGTTTCAATTTTCACAGGTATATTCCCCGAGATAAGACCTTTCTTTGAGTACCAACATTTTTTTGTCTTTTGGTCTGGATTTTGACTTGCATTTGAGACACTTTAACCTTCGCCATAAGCTGCCATACGGGGGCATCAGTGTTTCACAAACACATCTTGTTTTCAAAGAAAACAGAATAAATTTTATAGCTGAAAAATGCCCGTATATCGCGGAACTTTTCCTATCTTTGTAGTAGTACATATATGTTCTAATTTTAAAACTGTCACTTGACAAACAGCTGATGTAAGCGATGTCGCTTTGGCCGAACTCAGCAGAGACCCGATATAAGTGCAAACACCACAAATTACATTTATCCAAACTAATGCTGTTAAAAAATTATTAAAATTGTATTCATTTTCCCTGAATATGTTAAGGCGTATATTTCATGGGCGTCCTTATCCTAGCTGCGTAATTGAACATGTTGTTTACTTGTATTTTCTCCAGGGAAGTAAACAGCAGTGATTTCTGTTCACCAATAATGTGTTGTGTTTGAACATTAATTATCATGCAAATCTCTTTGTAGGTGTAATAAATTCATGAACAGATTTGAATACTGCAATATTTTTTTTTGTAAGTAAGGTTATTGTCTCCATTCAAAATAAGTTGTAAGGATAAAGGCATTGGTAATTGCAAAGTATTAAAGTTTTACCCGCAGATTACAAATATGCTTACAAAACAAGAATAAAATGATGTATGGGGTACTAGAAAATCTAAAGTTTCTTTTAAATCCATGAAAAGGAAATTATACTTACTGAGCAGAAGTTGATTATCCGGCCTTGATCCTTGTGCATGGCTTGTAAAATATATTATATATGAACAGCAAGAAGACGCGCACTTCTTGTCCATCAGTTGAATTTAAATTTTGATCTAGACAAGCTGCAAACTCTGCCCGGCAAGAAAATTGCATAACAAGGTTATCATGACACTGAAACTGACCAGCTAAGCCAGAACCACTCCTTATCAGATGCCTTGAAGATAAATTTGGGGAGTGGATCTTAAGTAATAAACTGACCGGGGTTAATTGTTATTTGGAAATTGATAAACCCTTTTGTAACATGTTAATTTTGATAGTTTTTAATTTTGTGATGAGAAAGATAATAGTAAATATCTAATACAGTTTACTTTTTTTCTTTCATAATGCAACAAAAGCACAATTTAATTAAAATCAGATTTCTTAGATCCGCTCCGTATACATTCTGTGCAGAGAATACGGCGGCGGATCTAAGAAGTCTAATTTTAATTAGATTACACTAATTTGGAATAAATTATTATTTTTTATTAATTTTATATTAACATGGAATTACAGTGAAGTATTAGATAAAGATGTCAATATAATAATGATTATTTATAAAAAGCTTATTTTAGGCATAAAAAAAGTTTATTTCATTTATGCAAAAGCACTGCATTCACAATTAATTTACAAATAAACATTTTGAAACAATGCAATTACAGTTAAGAGTTGAATGTAGATGTCATATACTTCATATTAACTCATATTAAACATTTTATTACAGTGCTGTACGCAAAATTCTTTTGAAATTTATATAAATTAATTCATAATGCATTTCATTTGTTGTGAATAATCATGACATTTTCTAACAATGCATACATGTATATACCAGTATAGCAAAAAATTACATTGATTTAGCGTTCAATATCCCTTACTCTTTTGACTTTGAAAAATAAGGTGCTCATTACTCGTTGTTTCAACATTTAATTTTCCCCACTTTTTTCAACGTTGAAAATATCTTGCATCCTCGACGTTATTTCAACGTTGAAATATCAACGAACATTCAAAGTTGAAAATATGCTGCATTTTTAACATTGCTTCAACCTTAAAATAACCGCAAATATTTAACGTTGAAAATATGTTGAATCTTCAACGTTGTTTCAACTTTGAAATATCGACGAACATTCAACGTTGAAAATAAGTTGCATTTTCAACGTTGTTTCAAAGTTGTAAAAAGGTTAAGGATTCAACGTTGAAAATATGTTAAATCTTCAACGTTGTTTCAACGTTGATATATCGATGGACATTCAACTTTGAAAATATGTTGCATCTTCATTGTTGTTTCAACGTTGTAAAAGGTTGAGAATTCAACGTTGAAACCTCAACGTTGAAACAATGTTAAACTATAGTTGCTCAACGTTGCAACTTATATTCCATCTACTTTCAATGTTGAAACAACGTTGCGCGCCTGCTGGGAATATCGTATTCAACAGTTCATCTGAATAAGTCATTAGAAACTAATAAATAGTTTTGACAAAACAAAAACAATAAATGTATTTTTTATTCAAGAGGTTGGATGACTTTTCATGTTTTGAAATTTATTTAAGGAATGGCCTGTCATTAAAGTACCCGGGAGAGAAAAGAATTGGGAAAATGCAATAGATACTACTAGATGTTTTTCCCGGGGCTATCTGGCTATAAAAGAAGGGAACTGACTATATAGCCATTTTTCCTTGGAGATAAATATTAAATATCCATTTTTCTCGGAGGTGGTGTGGGGTGGGGTGGGTGTTACTGCTAAATAGTCATTGTTTAGTGGGGAAAGATGCCTAGGGAACGGCTACTATGCAACTTCGGTATTGACACTTGATTACTTTTCAATAACAGAGCTCAAACATTTTTCTACAGATACTTATGTATCGATTTATCAACATATCAATTTTAGTTATTTTGATACTTTTTTGTAGATTATTTAGGCAAATACAATGTGTGGAAGACAAAGATATCAGGTAAAAATCTATTTAAAGTGAGAAAAAAATCATATATATTTGCAATGGTTTCATGAAACATGCATGGCGTTTATAAGTTTTCACCTAGATCAATCACATCAATGGTATATCGATGAAAATAAGTAAATATTAACATCCTTATGTTTGAATATTACGATATCGAATATGAGAAGGAATGAAACAAAAATACATTGCAAATATGCGACAAGCATCTCACATTCGCTTAGACACCCGAGCTACGATAGCATTTTCAAAAAGCTTTAAAACACACTGACATTAGACAGAACTTATATATCCGGTCCTGAATATGCGTAAGCTTACAAATTGAACACGATCACGGGTGAAAATAAAAGCTTTTCATTATTGTTCATATGGGATTCTTAGAAATGTCAAATAATCGAAATTCCAATTATACTGTCGAGTATATAGCACAAAGAAAAGAACTTTTATTTTGAAATACTTTTGAAATCTTCTCTTGAATCTGCAAAACGATGTTGTAGGAGTTCCGTAAAATATTTGTGTGTTAAGAGCTATTCATTTATGTGGTATAATTTTTTCTTTCATCCAATTTTTAGGCGTTTTTGTATTTATATGAAACAGAATTTATCCCAAAATTTTTTTTTTACATAAAAAGAGAAAGTCTCTCGCTGTTGCCTTCAATTGAAGATCTTGATATATGGTCGACGTTTTATCAATTATCAATATTTATTTTCATTCCTACGTTGATTCTATATATCCCTCTGAGCTTAACGTAGGTCGCGGGGTTGGTGACCTTTAAAAATTGCTCGAAAACATATTATGAAAATTAGTTATTTGAATCTCCTACTTTTGTTGTACATTCTCTGAAAATTTTATAAAATTCGTCTGCATCGCTTTTGCGTTATTAAATCCCAAACATGCCATCGTTATTGTAACATTTTCGACGCTATTCCATTGAATTCTATAGGGAAGACGTCATTTTTGACTCGTTTTCAGGCAAGATTTCTTCTAGAAAACTGTCAGTAATTTTTTAATGGTGCGGACGAAATTGTTCCCCTTTTGGTAATCTCACACAGAGATGATTTCCGAAAAATCTATGTAAAAAAATATGTCTTCGATTTAGTTTTCTCGTAATTGTAATGCGAATTATTGCTTTTACTTTGCAAAATGTAACATTTTTTCTAAAACTATTGATGATTTATTATTCATTACATTTTCTAGATCAGTTCTCCACACTGACTGATGACGAGGTGTCCGTGTTATATTGTTTCCTGTGTTCTGATTTTGGTCCTCCTGACTTCACTGACACAGAGTGGCTGGACTTGCTTAATGTTTTACGACAGATAGTGTATGGTAAAGAGAATCCTGTAACAAGTGAGGAAGCACAGCAGACTCTGGACAGACTGAAGTCACGTGATTACTTTTGGGAAGATCAGGACAAGATAACGGAGGACACAAAGGATGAGACAATGTATAGAATAGCATCAATAAACAGTGATATACCATTCCTTTACAGTAGTTATGACACAGCCAGTGTGTACCTGAGATCAGAGGGATACAACAGAAAACCTGGTGAGAAGTGTGTCATTAGTCTTGTTTGGGATAACTTACTCATATTTCGTCTACAGATGAACATACTGACTCACGTCACCATGGAGGACACGGCTTTATGTGACAAGATATACCAAATACGTAAGTCAACGTTAAGAAATATAATTATTTTCAAATATCAGAAAATGTCTCAAATGAATAAAATTAAATTCAAAAGTGTGATATAAGTATAAGTTTTTAAATCAAATAATTCAGTGGGTTTTATATTGATGTTGTTTCTGATTACAGTTACTCACTTGTATACTTGGGTATAATATTTGTATAAAATATTCACCTGTTTAAATGTTTCTCCTTGATAATCTTAAAAAGTTAAAATTACCCCCACTTTTAAACTGTTGGTGATGCCCTTGCAATCTCAACAAATCAGGCAGTAATTCCTTAAATATTTATCTTTTTCTTTAACAGTGAATGTTACAAACCAAATACTAAAGAATAGTGAAGATGAAAGAGAAGAATTTCTAATGGATCTAAAAAGAGAAGGGGATGCTGTGCATTACAGATATAAATTGCATGACATGGTACAATACAAGACCTGGGTCAGGAAACGCGATGTGCACGCGAGACCTGACATCGTGAGATCCTGTATAGGCCTCAGTCCACACAATGACTTTTTCATCATAGACAACAAAGCTTACAGAAAAACAAGTAAGAAGAAAAAATTATGATATTTTACTTAATCTTAAGTTACTGGTAGTCTTAATTCGTTACACTTTTACACATAAACTTTACAGATAGAGTCCCATTCAACTGGTCACACAACACCACAATCTGTTTCCCTTCTTTACCACGTAATTTTAGCCGTATTATTATACAGTTCCCTGTTAAAGAAAGTAAATTCTCATCTTAAATTAAACGTGTTAAGTTCAGATAAAGATATTAATTCAAAACGAATGTACATTTTCTTGGGTATTTTTAAAGTTTATTTGATTACACCGTCGTGCATAGCAATTTAATTTTTTTTAATATTGAAGATTAACTGAATGACAAGAATTATTTTCAATATAAATATAAATCAATAAAAGACACGACAGATGTTATTCAGGTTAAGCTCTTCAGCAGCGAATGTAGAAACTGAAGAAAAAAAGGTCTTGTTCCTTGTCATTTTGAATTGATAAACTACATGTGCTGGCGTTGTGGTAGTTACAGAAAAGGGCGTGGGTGGGGATGGGGGTGTTTGGGACATATCCAATCTTGTAATACATAATTTCTGTAAATAACATAGTATATAAAAATTTATGTAATCCTTTACCGTTGAACTATTTAGAGTTATAAATCACTTCGATTTTCCAACAGACTATTGAATGTGTAGTTTTTATTCATAGAATTTAAGTAGCCTGCACAAGAGTGTATGTTATGCTGAAGTGATAAGTTATAGAAAAAAAATAATATAACTTACATAAAATACATTTTATGAGTATGGAATGGGCGATTGTGAACGATCCTACACCGAAGTGATAGGTTAAAGCAGGAAACATGTAAGTTGCGTGAAATACATGCTGTAAATATGGATGCTCGTAAGAAAATATAATTATACTCATCTTAAAAAATTACTTATTAAAATCATACACGATAACATTTAGGAAGTCTTTTGATTCACTAAAATGACCTAAAAAACTACTCAAGTTTTTCAGTATGTTCAGTATTAAAAATTTGATTCATTGAAAAATGTTCAGAATAGATCGTATTATATCTACATGTACGTGCACGTGAGAATTACACAGAAATATTCAATTCAAAGCATTTAATTATTTAAGTTCTTTGCATGCGTATAAGCAGGTTGTTTATACAAGCTTTTTGGGAGGAATGAAAGAGGTCTCAAGAACTTATAGTCATCAAACTTTGCATGTTTTACTTCATCATAGACAAAAGCTCAAATTTACTATTCTGATCTAAGGTTGTTTTCGTTCGTCCGTCAGTAAACTCTTCACAGGATCCACTGAGCCAATTTCATAAAGCATCCTTGGATGAGTGGATTCAAGTTTATTCAATTGAAAGCATGCCCTTTTCAGGGAAATTAGTGAAAATTAATGGCATCTTTCAAAACTAAGTACCTCTGGGCAAGAAAAGTTAAACATTTGAAAGCTTCATTACATAGTCCACCGAAGGATAAGGGGTTGTTGGGGGGTACAATAGGCAAAGTTTGGAAATAATAATACACAAGGAAGAATGTTTATAAATCTTCTCAAGATTAACTTTGCCAGAAAAAGTTAAACATATGTTAAAGTTCCATTTCTTAGACTTCGTAACATTCAAAGAACTATTTTCAGTAATGACCAATATTTGCCCCCAAATGCAAAATTTTACCGAGAAATATATAATTATGTTCTAAAACAGGGTGATATGTGCAGACTTCAAAGCACTGAATATTTTCATAATTCATGACACCATATGTTAGATATGACGTCAGAAATTCAAAATTCAAAATTTCCATGAATTATACAGGAAAAGGTGTATATTACGTCAATTTTTTGAGTAAAAGTCACCGAGCGCAGGTCTGCTCCAACTAATTATTTTGATATAATGTGTAGAATGATAATATCAATGAAATATGTAAATATTGTTCTGGAGCAGGCCTGCACTCTTTGAATTTTATAGTAAAAATTGAACAAATTTTGTCCATTTTTCCTCTTTCTGAAAAACAACACAAAATCCGAATAGTCTGTGACGTCATAAAAACAAAAATTGCTAAAAACCTACTTCGAAACTATAATATTTTTTGTTAATTTAGATTTTTCATGCAATATATATACAATTCAACACATTTCAAGATATTTTCAAAATATGACTTTTGTGGGAGAAAAATATGCATATACTGCATATGGTTCTTTGTACAAACCATGATCCAAGGGATATGCTTGAGTGATAAAGGGCAATCAAAGTTTTAACATAGTAGTAACAAGGAATTAAACTTTATCTTAAAATATCTCCTACTCAATAACATCATAGGAATATTTAGTCATATTGATATGAAAGCATTCTCACGTAGTATTGAGTTAAGCTTGATCAAATCTGAGCTCTTAGGAAAGGTTCGGACTACAATGGTAGATTAAAGTTTTACATAGAAATATATTGTAGAAATCTGGTGATGAGCAATAGCAAGTAAAAGTGATTCAAGATAGCCTTGTTGCCTATTTGCTTCTTGTAAACTCACTTAAGAACCCTCTCTACACTGCACACAAAAGAGTTCTGATTCTATGGTATTTTTCTGCAGTAAGAGTGATCTGCCCTTAGATCTAAATTCCAATAAATAAAAATTTACAGTATATTACTCAATTTGTAATCAATTCAAGTATTCTTAACATTTTGAAAGGCCAAGATAAATTAATTGAACATGTTATTTACTAATATTTTCTTCATGGAAGTAACAGCAGTGATTTCTGTTAACTGATACTGTGTTGTGTTTGAACATTTTTCCTGGTGGTAAATGCCACGTACCATATATTGAAAATTAAAAAGATAAGCTGAATATTTACACCTTTATTCAAAATAATTTTCTCAATGTCCAAAAAACATTTTACACTGGTGTAAAGAGGGTCCTTAAGCTAAAGACTGAAGTTAGCTTTTCTGATAAAAGAATTGTCCATTTTCTATTAATGTCATCGTCGTCTACGTAAATGTTTCACATTTTCAGAACCACCAGGCCAATTTTAACCCAATTTTTGTACAAATCATCCTTGGGTGAATGGGAATCAATTTATTTAAATGAAGGGCTACATCCTATATCAATAAGAGATATTTATAAATAAGTTAAAAATAAACGGTGTTTAAAAAAAACCCTTCTGAAATACTAATTCGTTGGAAAATAATGAAACTTATGTGAATTATATGTATATTGAAGTCTTCAAATCATGATCATGGGTTAAGAACAGGGAAACATTAGGCAACAAAATTTTTACATAGGAAAATTTATGAAAACTCTTTCCTTAAATGTCTCAAGAACAGTAAAGCCATGATTAGTCCTATTAAAATATAAGTATCCTCAAATAGTGTAGCTCCAAGGTTGCTATAATCATGATCTCTGGGACAAGATTCAATTTAACCACATAATGATGAGTAAATAACAAGATTTTTATAATTATTCTGTCAATTATTGATTAATACTTGCAAAATCTGACCATTCTATAACAAATGTACAAAGTAATAACAAGCAACCCTTCATTTAATCTTGAAGGACGCGAAGCAGGTTGTTTACATTACAAGAACAAAAAATTATAATAATGTTTCTGTATTTGATTCATAATTGTGCTAATTTCATCAGGAAGGTATGACTAAAATTATTTAGTTTTTGAAAATGTATGATGTACAATAGAGTATCAACTCACAATCTCATTTTACATTTAAAAAAATCTAAATCCAAACATTTTATTGCTGGTCAAATTTATTAAAAGTTAATTAAGTGATCTTAGTTTTTAGCTCACCTGAGCCGAAGGCTCAAGTGAACTTTTCTGATCGAAATTTGTCCGTTGTCAGTCGTCGTAAACTTTTCACATTTTCATCTTCTTCTCAAGAACCACTGGGCCAATTTCAACCAAACTTGCCACATGGTATCCTTTGGTAAAGGGAATTCATGTTTGTTCAAATGAAGGACCACGCCTTCTTCCAAGGGGAGATAATTATGAATTCGGGAAAAATTAATGGCATCATTTAAAAATTTTCTTCTCAAGAACAACTGTGCTTGAAAATATGAAATTTATATGGAAGCATCCTCAGGTAGCGTAGATTCTAGTTTATTCAAATCATGACCCCCGGGGTTAGGTTGGGGCCACAATGGGCGATCAAAGTTTTACATAGGAATACACAGGAAAAATCTTTAAAAATCTTCTTCTTAAGAACAGCAAAGCCATAGTTGGTCATATTTATATGGAACCATCCTCAGGTAGTGTAGATTCAATTTGGTTCCAATCATGACCCCCGGGGTTAGGGTAGGGCCACAATGGGTGATCAAAGTTTTACATAGGAATACACAGGAAAAATCTTTAAAAATCTTCTTCTTAAGAACAGCAAAGCCATGATTGGTCATATTTATATGGAACCATCCTCAGGTAGTGTAGATTCAATTTTGTTCCAATCATGACCCCCGGGGTAGGGTGGGGCCACAAAGGGCGATAAAAGTTTTACATAGGAATACATCTTTAAAACATCTTCTTCTCAAGAACAGCAAAGCCATGATTGGTCATATTTATAAGGAACCATCCTCAGGTATTGTAGATTCAATTGTGTTCAAATCATGATCCCCGGGGTGTAGGGTTGGGCC